CAGTGAATCGTCTACAAATTTTGAAGAAGATGCGCTGTAAGGAGGTTAAGGATGAACTACGGTAATAAAGAAATCCCCGCAGCTTTTTGTAATTTAGGTCTCCAGCGGAGACCTACGGGAGACTTTAGATCTCTGCTTGGCAAACACTTTTTTTGTTTCTTACGATTCTGCTTTCCTTATTAAACACTTTTTATGCACAATTGGAACCAACTTTTGAAACAACAACTAGATCAAAACACTTCCTCCCTTCCTCGCTAGGGCCTTGAATCCTTTTACTTCAGGAAAGAAAACGCGCTCCAAAGTGCGGCAACATTTGTCTGTTTGTACACGTTTCCACATCAAAGCAGACCTTATTTGCTGGACTTTTGAAGGGGTAGTAGTTCTCTTAAAATCCAATCGGAGGCCTCGTACCGAAGTTTAGGCCAGTTACTGTGGCGTTTTTTGCCTAAGCAGAATTAAGGGGTACTCTCATAGCGCAAAAAAGAATGCGAAAGAAGAAGTGGAACTACCCAAAGTTTGTGAGATCACGTGTTCAATTATAGCACGCAAAGGAACGGGTTTAGATGTTATTTGTTTCATGTTGCTCCACCATCAAAAGGAGCCATTCCAAAACTGCACTGTTCTGTGTTGAGTGCAGTTTTGGGTATGGATTTGGAATATTTTAATGTCAACTCTAAATCACGTTTAAAGAATAGGAGATCACTTTTAGAGGATAGAACTGGAGATATTTTAATTAGAACCCTGGGGATGATCCTTGCTTCGAACACGTAAAATATGTGAATGATCTGTTCTTTGAAACCTATGTATACTATTAGAAATCGACCAAAGCTTCCAAACAAACAGAATTAATTACACGTACTTTCTTCTACCTCGTGGTTTCTGACATTCTTCCTCAACTGATTTGTTTAGACTGATGACACAATGAGCAGCTGTAAGTACATGATACGGTGAGATTAGTGCGCCACCACACATCTCAGTCCTTAAATCTGAAATCAGGCATTGTAGTGTAGTTAATCTTCTACTGTAACTATACGTTCGCACCTTTATGATACCTGAGAGTAGCCAAGAAAGGAAATTCATCTGGTTTCACAGGAACTCCTCCAAGAACTTTGAAGAGCTTGGCTCCTTTAGCGGGATAAAATTTTGCACTAATATCTGTAGCTAACATCTCTAGCTTATCAAGGATCACTGCTCTATATTATTAGTTTTTCAAAAGAAAAGTTATGAGAATGGTCCTTTACAGATTTTCTGTGGAAATGCCCACGCTTTCCATTTGACCGCTTCTTTCACTTCGTTTTCCTCTCATGAGGAGAGTGAACACTACACAAAAATTATCTATAGATTAAACATCACAGAAAAAACTATTCGGTTTCTTGTTGTTATGCGAGCTTTGCTTTGGTCGTCATCAAAACTATGTCCAGATCCTTGATCATTAAATAACCGATCCAGGCCTACACCCCGAGCGCTGTTCTTCCGCTTCCATTAAAGATTAGATACTGATTGTAAGTGTGGCGAAAAAATATTGCTTAGTACTTCTTTGCAACAGCATAAACGGTCGTCTCTTCTTTGTCATTTCGCAAAAAAATCTCATGTTCTGACGAATTTCCTCCTCAACTGATGAAATTTCCTGTGAGAAATGTCATCATGACATCGCTGCAATTAAATTTCCGCATATACATGCAAAGTAAAAAACTAAAAAAACAGCTAGACAGTATAAGTATTGTTTAAGATAAGCGTTTGAGAGCACTAAGGTGTGTCAGTGTTACCATTCTCTCAGTTTCAATTACTTTTTGCAGGAAAGGGTTGGGGTGAATACGCTTTTAGGAGGGAGTATAAGTTGGTCTCTGTCTTCTCTTCTCTTCTTGTCTCAATATCTACATCGGTAATCATAAAATAAGACTACCACTATAAAGCGACTCTAATTATAAGTGTCGCAGGAGATCAGAGGCAAGGGTATTAACGAGTTGCAGAGAGCAAAAAGTTTTCATGCTCTTACCAAAGTGCGTTTAGATAATGTGGTAGGCTCCAGTCTTTCACAATACAGCCAGATGAGTGAAATAAGAAAAAGAGTTTGTTTATGCTGCTCCACAACAAAATCGCAATATTTCTATAATTTGGTAACAAAATATCACTGAGATTAATGTATCTGGATCACTATTACTCTTAAAAATCAGATAAATTTCTAAAGAATACCTAGACGTATCATCACAAACTGGAGAGGATTCTGCTCACTTATAAAATAAAACTAACATACTTTCTTTGAGATGTCCACAGCTTTCTTGCAGCTTTGCATTTTCCTCCTCGGTAATTCTCTTAGCGTTCGCGAGTGTATAGACCCAGATCAGGCAAAGTAGTTCAATGTACATCTCGATTCGAAACGCTTCTTCAAATATTCGAGAAAAGAAAACGGGGAGTCAGGAGCAAAGAAGGCTTTTGCGTATAACGAGGCCTTTCCTATCAATCTATTTTTGATATGCAAATTCGTATGCCTGATTGAGATAATGTATAGCATTTATGTCAATATGTACGAGCAAATAATTCAGTGGAAGCATTCATATTCGAGGTGATTTGAAAGCCTCGAGAATATGCACGTTTTAATTAGAAGGAATATGAATGAGTAATACTGATACGAATTTTAGATTTTCCTATACCAATTAAATTGAAGGAGATTTTTCCGAAAGTATCTCACGTACATGTACTAGATGAAGAATTTTTTCTCAGAAATATTTGTTTTTTATCAAAATCTAGTCCTTTGACACTTCGGTAGCCAGAAAAGCTTTTCTTTGATGCCATTGCAGAGCTGCCCATTTATTGGAAGATAAACCGATCACAAAGCATACGAAGGAAAACATAATAACATTCTCAAAGCGTGAGTTTCACTGAGAAAACGGCAAATATTGTGATACAGTCTCTCAAAATACGATCATAAGATCTCCCTACTTCTGCAGCTTCTCAAACTTTCATTTGCTTTGATTGACCATGTTTCCTGGATGTGCGCATGGGACATACTCCTAAAAGTTGATAGTAGAAGTTTAAAGGTATCAAGTAGTGACATGAAGCCAGAAGAATGTACTAACAAACGCATATGCATCAAGTAAACGTATAATGGTGAAACAATGCAGCAAGCGAAAATTTAGAGGAGCTGGCAAGCTCAAATAAGACGAACTGCAGTTGCAGCTTTTATCAATGCATTTGCTTTTCTTTTGCAGGGCACCATCCAATTTCTGTGAGATTTTCTCTGAGAACATGAGTGGACGACGCAAGAGAGTTAAGAGATAAGCGAAAAATTTTGCAGACTTATCTTTGTTTTGGGGAATGTTCCACTACTGTAACTTAGTATTTTCTGGAATATCGTCTGTATATCTCA